ATGCAGGATGTATTTTCATTGTTACAAATTGAACATAATTAAAGCATAGTGATTAATCACAAAAACAATATGTAATTACATATGTGTTTTCCGATGGTCTCAGGCGACCCCTGTGAAAGGGTCGTTAGACCCCCAAGGGGGTCGCGACCCACAGGTTGAGAACCGCTGGTTTTCGCTTTAAGGACAAGTGTTTCTGTTTTGAGGTTCCATTGAGTGTGCTCAGTTCACACTGGAGCCCACGTCCCCAAACTTCCACCCTGGCCGGCAGAGGTTTGTATGTAACCTCTTGAATTCGGACAGGAAGGGAGAATGGGAGAATTCACAAGAACGGCCCAGGCCCGACCCCAGGAGCCACCCTCTCACCCCAGAGAGGGTCCCCACGGGGCAGGGCGGGGGCACCTGGGCACGGCAGCGTGGGGAGAAGTTGAACTGCTGCCGCCCACGGGCTACCCGGGAGCACGGAGGGCTGCAGCCTCTTCCTAAAGTCACAGCGGAAGTGAGCTTACCACACCCCAGCGTAAGGCCAGGCGCCTGGGTCCGCCCCGCCCCGTGAACACCTAAGGCTCCAGGTACACACACAGGCGGCTTTACCTGGCCTTCTCCTTCTCGTAGGACTTGATGTGATTGTACCAGCGCAGCGCATGGCACAGGTCGGCGGGCGGCGGGCCGGACACGGCTTCGAACACGGCCACGTCTGCCTGGGACGGCACGTACCTGCGAGGGCAGAGAGCATGACACACAGCTCTCAGGGCCCAGCCGCGGCGGGGACAGGCGCCGGCCCGTCAGCTCATCCGGGGCATCTCCCCCCCGTCACCGGGCCGCCTGGGCGGCGTCGGGGTTGTAGGCAAACGAGCTCCGTAAGGGAAGAACCACCTGTTCGGTTGGAGCCTGGCGAATGCCTGACACTTGCTAGACCTCAGAGGCTGCGGTCTTTATGAGAGACCGACGGGCTTACAGTCACTGAGCAAAGACGCGGAAAAAGCTGGGTGATATCCAGCAAGGGCTAGGAAATAAAAAAAATAAATAAAAGCAGCTTTTGGACCCGCTTCCCCCTGAGCCCCTCCCCGAGGAGGGCCTCGGCCCGGCAGCCTGTCCCCGGCGGCGGGGAGGCCGCGCCACGTGGTCCCGGGCGCACCCGGCCCGCCCCGCGTTCCGCTCACCCCTCGATGTAGCTCTTGTCCGCCAGGTAGTTGTTGAGCACCTGGAGGCCGGACGGGCTTCTGAGGTCTCCAAAGCCCATGGCGTCGGCTGACCCGGGAGCTGGGCGGCAGCAGAGGGAAGAGGGAAGCGGGACGCCGGCTACGGCCAGCGAGCGCTAAGAGGGGAAAAAGGGCCGCCAAAAGCCGGAAAACTCCTTATATAGAGACGGAGGCGTTTCCCTCCGCCGCCAAGGTTAAAGGTCAAAGTACGTTAACCTTCTCGTTCCTCAACATAAAACCCGGGGTTCTGGCTTAGACGGCCCACAAATTTTCCGGGGGTCTTTCTTTGTGTTGGGATATAAACTAATAGAAAGGGCATTTCTTAAATGAGTCCCTCGGCGCGCTCCCCTCCCTGAAGATCACAGGAACCGCCCCTTGAAGCACCGGAGATGACCGAAGAGTGTCGGCCTCAGCCTCCCGGGCACTTCCGGCGGAACTGCAGGTCCAGGCCTCCAATCCCCGCCTCCACCTGGCAAGCCCCGCCCTTCTCCCTGCTGTCTGTCAAATTGACGGAAATTGCCGAACTGAACCTGAGGGGCGGAGGGAATTGGCGCAGCTGAGGTTTCTAGTCCCTCCTGGCTTCCCGTTCTCCAGGCCCGGCTGACGGAGGTCGCCGAGGCTGCCATATTGAATAAGCAACCGGGCGTCTAAGGGGGTCGGTGCGGTGCAGACAGTTCTGCCGAGTGCCCTCGGCGGCTCCAGACAGAAGGTGAGGACGTGTTTGGGTGCGAAGGTTGAGGTGCCATGGCCTCAGGAGGTTATTTCTTGAGAAAACTTTGCTTTGGCCCAGGAGACTCATTTTCCCCTTGTCCTTGACTGGGCGCTGCGTCCCACCCCGCCTCCCCGGGAGCCCCCGAGGGCCGGCCGGTGAGGTCTGCCGGCCCTGGTCTCTGGTCTGCTGGCGCAGGAAAGAAGCAGGCCCTGGGGAGCACTGGCCCGAACGCAGGCTTAGGGTGACCTTCGCTCCGCAGGGGCAATGCCGGACGTGCCCCTTTCTGGAGGGGAGGCCGTTTTGTTCCCTGGACGGGGACTTGTGTCAAGTGCCTTCAGCCAACGGACGGAGCATTTTCTCCCCAGTCAGTACTTCGCTGGTCCAGTGCGTACGGTATTGCCTTAGCAACCGTCCGCGCGTCTGTTTGTTTTTGGTTTTGTCCATTGTGCGCGTTGGGTAGCGCTTTTTGGTCCTTTGGCCGGTGGGGAAGCTGGAGGAGAAGACATGAAAAGTTAGAGCCCAAGGTCGCGCTGCGAGCAGCAAAGGCGCCCTGTTGGAAGGTCTTGGGCTCCCGGGCCTGACTGCAAGGTGGTGGGTCGGACACAGCCCTGCTCCGAAGCGAAAAGCACACCCTGCATATCAGATATTTACATGACGATTCATAACAGTAGCAACATTACAGTTAGGACGTAGCAACAAAAATAATGTTATGGGTGGGGGTCACCACAACACGAGGAACTGTATTCAAGGGTCGGGGCCTTAGGAAGGTTGAGAACCACTGTGAGAGCTACAGTGTAGACAGTGTAGTGAACTGTTTCTGATGACTCCGCATCAAGACTTTTTTTTGTTTAATGTTCTCCGCCCCCCCCCCCATGTGTATGTGTGCGTCGTTGCTGTGTGATTCATTACTCGAATTCAGCCAATTCAGGTTTACCTCCACATCCGTAGGTTTCAATGGGATAGATGCTACTCATTCTGGAAGTGGGTGATTAGCCCTATTTGATGGTTTTTTAACCCCAGGGACCTGGTGTTAAGTCTTCAGAAGAAGGAAGTGACCAAAGGGCATTACTTCTTGTGCAGGAGCCTACAATGTAGTCGGTACTGAGGTTGGTGGCTAACCTGCAGTTTACTGGGTGGAATAAAGATGTATGTGTGTGCAGTGTGCACCGGGAGTGTGAGCAGGAGCACGAAAGAGCACTTTTAAAAACCGCTCATAAGTGGCCCATCCTGCCTAAATGCACTTCCGCTTGAACTGACATTTATTCGGCTCCAACCTATAGCACAGCCTCGGAAGCACTGTTTTCTGCTCTTTAGATCAGCAGAAACTCATGCACCAAAAGCCACTCGCTTGTAGGCGACAGACCTGATGTCTGCAAATCCAGTATCACAGGTTCAGAACTGATGAATTTTATGAATTATTGAAATCTGACGTACTGAAATTCCCTGTTATATATCATCTGTAACAGGTGTGTAAAGCGTGATGCTTAAAACTTAGGTATACTAGGTACACAGGGCGCCCCAAAATACGTATACACGCTTGAACAGCAAGAAGCTGTTAAATGAAAATGAAATGTATCTTAGTAAACTGCCTTTAAAATTATATTAAGTGTATACATTTTTTGGAATGCTCTGTACATTATTTTCCACTCTCTTTACCTTTGAAATTCTTTATGTTGATATATTCTGATCACAAAACTTGCATTTTTAAAAATTCCAAAGTGAAAAATTGTAATTTGGATGCTTAGCCCATCTGATCAAGTGAATGGACCAAAACCTCTAAAAGTTCAGCTAACTTTTCTGTTTGCTCATGTATATGCCTTTAATCGTTGTTTACGTAATCCACTTCTATGTATTTCAGTAATTCAGCAAACCTTTTAGAGCAGGGTTTTTCAACTTGCAGCACTCGACACTTCGGGTAACTTTTAGGGGGACTGCCCTGTGCATTGCAGGATGTTTATCGTGCCCTGGCCTTGCCCCTGGATGCCTGAAGCCTTCCCCAGTTGTGACAGCAGTGTGTCCAGGCATTGCCAAATGTTCTCTGGGAAGCAAAATTTTTCCTGGTTGAGAACCAGTGTTTTAGATCCTAGTGTGTCAGCCTTGGGGCTAGGCATTGAAGATAAGTTCATAATGCAGTGGGTGTAGAACAGATAATTGCAGATCTGTAAGTTCAATGTACTACTCAGCACAGAAAATGGCACTCCAGACACTTCAAAGGGTTGGGCTTGTGAGCTAGCTCAGAATATCTCAGGAGCATTTAGTATGTAATTGCTAAGAATATTAGAAGGCATATTGTTAGGAAATGAAGGTAGAAAGGTAGGTTTTACTTTACATAGATATTAATGATAAGCTGTTATTCTTGAAATTTGCTTTACTGTATAATAGTATTTTAAGTGTGATAATTTGTTAATAGTTAAAAACAACAAATCTGCCCTTTACATAGAATTAGAAGGCCCAAATTTACATACCAGCTGCTGCTTCTTAGCTCCTTGACATGGTATAAGTCAGTAATCTCTTTGAGACTGAATATTCTCATCTATAGAATTTGAGGGGAAATATCAGGATTTGTTAGTGTTCAAAGAAATAATGTATGTGGAATGTTTTAAAATCATAAAATATTACCAAAAAGTTTATAATTAGGGTTCTTCCTACAATAATATAACTCTTCTTTGTTTCATTCTTAGCAATATGTTAAGGATACCTGTGAGAAGGGCCTTAATAGGCCTTTCTAAGTCTCCTAAAGAATATGGTGAGTTGTTTTTTTTTAATTTGCATTTGTTTGTACTCAACTTTCTATTTTTATAAATTCATAGATCTGTGGAATGTTTATTGCAAGACCCTAAACTCTTAATTTGTTTGAAATAAAAATAGAAACAAATGACCCAAGTCAAGTAGGATAATTTGGGAATTATAACTTTACCTTAAACAGTTTATAGAAATCATCATGGAATATAAAGTAACTGGAACTGCCCATCATTGCTGCAAATGAAAAGAAACAGTCATTCTGCTTTTGAAAAGTGGTCTTCCCATGAACATATTTTTAGTGGTATAAAAAGTTTTAACTTAAATTGCTATTAAAAGTAGACAACTATATTCGTTTGGTATTCAAGATTAAAAATCATTTTTGGTAATACACTAATTTAAAAGTTTGAATCTATAGAAATTTTAGGCTTGTATGTTAGAGTTAAGTAATCCATTATCCTCTGCTATAATGAATTCAACCATATTAATCTGTTTTTCACTTCAATATTTTTGATGGTCAGTTCGAACAACAGCCACAGCAGCAAGCAACTTAATTGAAGTATTTGTTGACGGCCAGTCTGTCATGGTGGAACCGGGAACTACCGTCCTCCAAGTAGGCATATGTCCTAATTCTCTACTTTTGTGTATGTTCTGCTTTTTAGAAAAATACCAGTTTATTTCTTTATACTGTTTATTTATCTCTAAAATTTTTAAGATTTCTTGATAAATACTCATAAAAGCACTATAGGTACATGAAAATAAGTAATTTGAAATCTTTGAAATCTTCCAAAGTGAGCTGTCATTTATGTTTCTGACTTTCTTTTATTTAAAATTTATTTTATTGATTAAAGAGGTAAACATAGATTGGTTGTTCCACTTACTTATGCATTCATTTCTTTTACGTGCCCTGACTGGGGATCGATCCTGAAACCTTGGCATATCAGATCGACACTAACTAACTGAGCTTCCCAGCCAGGGCTGATTCTCACTTTTTTAGTGAACAATGGCAATTCTTTTGTTTCACTTCTGCCTTACAAATAAATGCTCATTAAGAAATTTGAAGTTACTTAAAATTATTAGTTAATATAGGTAAGTTTGGGGGAAAAGTAACCTCTGTTTGTTGTGAGCCTGCTTGATGTTTTGACTTTCATATAACCTTTCTATTTTCAGTATATTTCTAGGAATATAACCTACAAAACAGGTAAGTGAAGGCCAATACATTCTTGAATATTTAGTTTCTCCAAATTTCTCCAGAACTAAGAAAATTGTTCATGCAGAAGTGATGCATCGTTGCATCTGCAAGTTCTCACAGAGCCAAATGCTATGTATTCATTTTAGCCACCATTTCTGGACTGTCTGCCAGGTGTAGACATGTAAACAATAAATACATAACAAAAATATGTTCAAGGTACAGTGCAGAGTATTTTGGCAGGTATAGGAGGTGGTAGAAAGAGATGTGAGGAGCATGTTGGGTGATTCCTGAGGAGATTTGAAAGGATATAGACAAGGTTTGTATTGATGGAACAAAAGGTATATGTAGAAGATGAGATAACAGGAAATCAAGTTATTCTTTAGGGAAGGTCCAGTCATGAAAGAAGATACAAGCCATGTTAAAGAGCTTGTAGTTTCACACATCAGGAGTTTTTGTGGCTATTGAGCAATATGTCAGTGACAGTAGGATGATGGCTTGTGAGAAAAACAAGACTGGACTGAGAGATAAGGAAAGAGTATCTTGCATTAGTGGAGCAGGAAATGAAAAGGTCTAAAATAGATGGTAGCAATGGGAATGAAAACAAGATAGAGTTAAAGGAGAGTGAGAGGTAGATAGGCCTTTAGGAATGATGAAGAGCAGAGGGATTTTTGTGGATTCTTGGCTTATTTGGGGTGAGTTAGTAGAGGACAGAAATAGGTTGGATTTTAACTCTTTGGAGCATACACTTGCATAAATGCCTTTTTAAGTCTAAAGTTTGGAGAAGAGAGAACTCTGGGCTGCAGATGAAGAATGTGAGATATTACAAATCTGCGATAATTCATTTACTGCATCTAGCAAGTAGGAAGACCATACATTTTGCTAGGTAGTTAAAACATTGAACATTGCTTTAAAGCAGCGGTTCTCAGCCTGTGGGTCGTGACCCCTTTGGGGTTCAAACGACCCTTTCACAGGGGTCGCCTAAGACCATCGGAAAACACATATATAATTACATATTTTTGTGATTAATCACTATGCTTTAATTATGTTCAATTTGTAACAGTGAAATTGGGGGGTCACCACAACATGAGGAACTGTATTAAAGGGTCGCGGCATTAGGAAGGTTGAGAACCACTGCTTTAGAGTGAGGGCTAACTCTAGAGGAAATCTGAATATACTTATTGTAGTCTCAGAGAAGGAGGAGTGCTAATTGGTAGATAGAACTAATCCCTCTTACTAGGCAAACAGGAACTGGGAAGAGCTTCAGTCACAGTGGGGGTGTCAGTCCTGGGTTTGGTATTTGGAGTCAAAGCTAGAACCAGATCATAGCCAGCGAGGCTGTGTGAAGTGGAGTCTCTAATCTAAAGGAGGAGGCAAAGAAGATGTCCATGTATGAAGAGTTTGAATCGGAGTCGTGAACAGTGGTTCAGAATAGAAATGGGGAATCAAGCCTTCAGTCTGAAGCTGCTTCATTTAGTTTCTTCCATGTAAAGTGTAGACATGGCTGTGGGTCCTTAAAGAGGCAGCTTCAGAGCAGACTGAGGTTGGAATCAAGAGCAAAGAAAGGAAATCTCTTCAGGGATGAAGAAAGAATGAATGAAAATACAGATATTTGTAAATAGGACTAATAAGATAGGTAGGAGATGGCCTCACCCTCCCTCCGGTGTTTTAGGCACAACTAGAATGAGGTCAGGTTATCCTAATGCAAAACTTTTTTACTTGTTGTCTTCTAGGCTTGTGAGAAGGTTGGCATGCAGATCCCTCGATTCTGTTACCATGAAAGGCTGTCAGTTGCTGGAAACTGCAGGATGTGCCTTGTTGAAATTGAGAAAGCTCCTAAGGTACTTGATACCTAAAATTCCACTCCATGCTGTGGAAGGTAGAAAACTTTAAATCTCACAGCAAACTGTATTTAGAATCACTATTATAGTGGAGAATCTAGCCCTGTTTACTTCTTTCTATAAATTAATTTTGTGGATGATTGATTCTCTTCAAAAGTGGAAATACATTGATGAAAGTGCTTTGTAAACACAGGGGCTATAAAATTCTAACAAATTCAGAAATTAAAGGTGTCTTTTTACAGCTGTCAGTATTTCCAAATGGATCTATGTTACACAACTGGGATGTGGAGTTGCTAAGCAGTACATCAGAAGTGCTTATGTTGTGCCGTTCTCAGTAGAGAAAAGGGTGGCAGTGAAGAGGTTCACTTTGAGTTTAATTTCATTTTGGCCTATGCAGTTTTAATTCAGTAGTGCCTGCTAATCAAAAAGCAGCTTTGTGATGTTCTGTTTCAGACCCTTATAGAAAATCGCATTGGTAGAATAAAATTAAGATGTAGGATGTCTTATTTGTTTCTAAAAGAAATGTAAAGTGACAGATTATCATATTATGAATATGAAAGTTAAATTCAGTCTTCAAAAATACTCTCTTTTTTGCTTATTTTCAGAAATATAATGTTTTTATATGTTGGGTTACTTATAATTACAAATAAATACAAATACTTACAGATGTTTCTATTGAAATTTCAGGTTGTAGCTGCTTGTGCCATGCCAGTAATGAAAGGTTGGAATATCTTGACAAACTCAGAGAAATCTAAGAAAGCCAGGTACTTACTGTTACTTGGCTTAGTAATTTTTCTTAGAGCAGAAAATTATTGAACTGAGATTATTGCAGTGATATACTACTTTACTGGTCCTGATTTGCTTTGCACTTGTGTGTTTGTTTTTGTTTCAATTAATATGAACATTTTTTGAGGACAGTTCAGCAGCTTCCAGTAATTTTGTGTTGTTATAAGTCATAATTTTTCAGATTCTCTAATGATACTTTATTCTAGGCTTCTGTAAGCATTTTTTAGGTTGTTTTTAATACTACTTGGATAATGGTTACATTGACATTTCTGATAATAACTAAAATTAATACTATATGATAGCATACATCTGTGAAGGTTATTTAAATAGTATATGAAAATCATTTTATATATTAACTTTTCATACAGGGAAGGTGTGATGGAGTTCTTATTAGCAAATCACCCATTGGACTGCCCTATTTGTGATCAGGGAGGCGAATGTGATCTGCAGGTATGTAGGCTAATCTTATGAATCTATTTGGTTGTCTCAAGTTTTAATTTTATTACCAGCATTAGATTAACTCTCTTGTGATCTATTTAAGGACCAGTCCATGATGTTTGGAAGTGATAGGAGCCGGTTTTTAGAGGGGAAACGTGCTGTGGAGGACAAGAATATTGGGCCGTTGGTAAAGACCATTATGACTAGATGTATACAGTGTACTCGCTGCATCAGGTAATTCCCGACCCCCCCTTTCTGGAATATCATTTCTGTACTTAGTTAATATTCATAAAATTTGGTGGAATAACAACACTTTCATTTGGTGGGAGAAGAGGAATGGTTTTAACGTGTTTTTTTTTTTGCATCAGCCAATAAAATGAATAAGTTGGTCACTTTTGGTTAATATCAATGTCAGTAGGATTTAAAAACCAAATCTATAAGCATTAACTCTGTGGTAATTTGCTGAGCTATAGACATGTAATTTGTGCAATTTTATGTATGTGTGCTATGCCTCAAATGCAAACATTGAATTTTTGTTTTTTAAAAAAATATTTTTTTAATTGATTTCTGAGAGGAAGGGAGAGGTCAGATATAGAAACCTCAGTGATGAGAGAGAATCATTGATCACTTGCCTTCTGCATGAACTGGGGATTGAGCTTGCAACCCAGGCATGTGTCCTGACCAGGAATCGAACTGTGACTTCCTGGTTTACAGGTCGACAGTCAACCATTGAGCCACATAGGCTGGGCTATAGAATTACTTTTTATCTAGGGAGTATGCTCACCATTGAAAATATACTCACATCTTTTTTAGTGCTTGAAAATGATAGTGGGAAAGGAGATTAATTTTGCTGGATTTGACGATTTTATGGTATATTTTTGTCTTGCAGGTTTGCAAGTGAGATTGCAGGAGTAGATGATTTGGGAACAACAGGCAGAGGAAATGATATGCAAGTTGGCACATACATTGAAAAGATGTTTATGTCTGAACTGTCTGGGAATATCATTGATATCTGTCCTGTAGGTGCCCTGACCTCTAAGCCCTATGCCTTCACTGCCCGGCCTTGGGAAACAAGGTACTCATCATTGTATTTTTTAGATAATTTCTGCCCTTTGCTACTATTAAAAACTTTATAAAGAAGTTTCTTTCTGAGTCCTAAGTGCTTTGTTCTGCTAAGTTATTATTTGCATTAAGTAAAATCATCGTATATTGATTTCAGAGAGGATGGGAGAGGGAAATGTAAATATCAGTGATGAGAGAGAATCTTTGATTGACTGCCTCCAGCACACCACACATTGGGGATCGAGCCCACAACCCAGGCATATGCCCTGACTGGGAATCAAACCATGACCTCCTGGTTCGTTGGTTGATGTTCAACCACTGAGCCATGCCAGCTGGGCAAATAAAATCCTTTTGCTGGAAAATAAATAGTTATAGATTGTAGGATAGAATGCAACTGCAAATTTAAAATTTATGGTCTGTTTTCATTGTATATTAAGTTTTTAACTATGTGAATATATCGTACTTTAACCAATTCCTATGATTAGATATTTTGTTTCTATTTTTTATAATTACAAATCTATGATAAACATTCATAAATTTTCTTGTATATCTCTGGTTCTTCTGATTAAACCAAGAAATGGAGTTGGTAGGACAACAGATTTGAATATTTTTAAGGTTTTAGAAACATATAATCAAATTCCCCTCCACTTTTAAACTTCCACCAGAGTTTATGGAGTTTCTTAAAATTCCAGGTATCAAACATTGTATTTATGTGTGCAAAAGGATTGGGGGTGGAGAACAGTACAAAACAGATGTTTAATTAGAGAGTTTGTTCCCTTCTCCTCAGCCAATAAGGCTTCCATACTCAGCCAGTAGATCTGTGTGTGAATAGAGGAGCACATTCGAAGTTCAGGCTGTTTTCAAGTTGGCCCAATGTGTTTCCACTGTATACTTTGAATTTCAGTGTCATCTACGAGTGTGAATAGCTTGGGGCCCTCTCTGGCCTCAGCTGCACATATATGAACAGCCTTTGCAAGGAGTGCTTGCCCAACTATGCCTACAGCCTCTAATACGTTTGGCTCTCCTCACTCAAGGATCTCCATGATATCACTTCCCCAGGCAACTTTCCTCATTGCTCCATATTGAGTGATTGTTCATCTGCAGGAAAGAAACTCCCATCTTCACAGCCTGCCCTATCCTGGCAAAACCTCCAGTTCAAGGTGGTGGGAGGAGGGTTAAGAACTGCCCTAAGCCAGAATACTGCTGATTTCCACTGTTCTTAAAGTTAAGCTGTTTTCCCAGGCATAAGAGTTTCTATGAGTTTCCCTTCCGTAGAGTTCCAGAGTGTTGAATTGGTTGTTTTTAATTTTGTTCAATTTTATTTTTGTTTTTTGGGGGGGAAGGAATTGTCAAGCTCTTAAATAACCAAGCCAGAAATCTCTCCCTTCTTGTTAGTTATTTTGATACTCAAATTGTTTCAGATTTGCCCATTTAGAGCCCTTCCAGTTGGCTTCTATATCAGAACAATTTTAAAGTCTTCATTTTTGCATTATGAATTTATGTGATGTGTTTAAATATGAGGGTTTTTTAAAATTTTTTAAAGCATTTTCTCTGAGTTCCATTATTCTTAGAAATTCATAAAGGAAAGTAATTACACAGTTTTTTGTTTGGGGTAAACCAGATAGCAGAAACTTTATTCTTATTCATAAAATCAACATAGCAAATATATGTATGTATTTTCTCAGAAAGACAGAATCCATTGATGTAATGGATGCAGTTGGAAGTAATATTGTGGTAAGCACAAGAACTGGAGAGGTGATGAGGATTTTGCCAAGAATGCATGAGGACATTAACGAAGAGTGGATCTCTGATAAAACCAGGTATATGCCATACTGCTCTCCTTTTGCAATTGATTTAAAGGAAATTTTATAATAATTTTAAAGAACTATCTTTTGTATAGTTGCAAATTAATTAATGAATATAGGCTATTAAATTCTGTACTATTAATATAGAGAATTGGACAAAACTAACAATAGTTTTAGATATGTCACTGGTTTTCATATTAACTTTGAGATACATCTTATTTCCTTTTAAACCAGCGGTTCTCAACCTGTGGATCGCAACCCCTTTGGCGGTCGAACGACCCTTTCACAGGGGTCACCTAAGACCATCCTGCATATCAGATATTTACATTATGATTCATAACAGTAGCAACATTACAGTTATGAAGTAGCAACGAAAATAATTTTATGGTTGGGTCACAACATGAGGAACTGTATTTAAAGGGCCAGAAGGTTGAGAACCACTGTTCTAAACGGAGAAATTGAAGTAGATGAAGATATGTCAGTTTGTTTATTGGAGAAAATAAGCAAAATATCAGAGTTTATGCAACATAATTTTTTATAAAATATCTAGAGGTACTCAAGTTTTATAAATAAAAATGATTTAGCTTTTTCAGCTGTCATATTGTTTGTGTAATTTTAAGATTATTCAGGTAGCTGAAAATAAGTTATAAGAATTCAAGTTTTTTAGGTGGTGTTTTAATTTTTAACTGATATTTGTAAAATATTTATTAGTTTACCTCTAAGAAAACCTAGAATAATTACTTGTCAGGTATTTATTAACTTACTTGATAATGAATTTAACATTTTTTTAGATTTTAAATTTGGAAATTATAGTTGCCTCTTTATCAAGATTCCACAAATGGTGTAATTTCTGTTTAATCTAGATTTGCCTATGATGGGCTAAAACGTCAAAGACTTACCGAGCCGATGGTCAGAAATGAAAAAGGGCTTTTAACCTATACCTCCTGGGAGGATGCACTCTCTCGTGTAGCTGGAATGGTAAAACATGGATATATAAAATAAATAGTATTTGTGATTTTTCAGTGACATCTTTGTAGTGAAGAAGAGATATATATTTCTTCACTTCTTTCCCTTTGCAAAGATTATTAACAAACATTTATTGAGAACTGTATGCCAGATGTAATGCTAGATGCAGGGATATAGAAATCACTAACACATCTCTCACAGTCTTGTAGGGAGAGATACCTAATTAGGCAATTATCGTATGCTGCTATGGGTAGTTGTGCAGGAAATGATATGTGACATATAAGTGATATATGAGTGGTGCCTAACCAGGGCTAGCATATCAAGGCTGCCTTCCTGGATAAGGTGACCCCTTAGGCAAAATTTATGAATAATGAATACTAGTTTGCCAAAGCAAAAAAAGAGGGCACGCCTTTCAACATGCAGGGCTTGAGGGAATGACAGATACTTGAGAAAAAGTTGTATTTAACTATAACTCCTAGTCTTCATCCTCCAGACCTCATTTTGAGGCCCTTTTGTTCCTAATTTAAAACAAACAGCTTCCTTCCAAGCTGGTGTTACTAGGGTTGGCCCCACATATACCTCTGCGTCTCACAGATTAATTAATCATTGGTGTGAAACTTTTTATTAGAAGTTTGTTGCTTTTTTTCTACTTGAAAATGATTTTTTTTTAATTTTATTTTTTTAGTTACAATTGAAAATGATTATTTTGTTCTCTGAACTATTCATTGTGGTCTTTGCTGAATGAGAACTCCTTAGTGATACCTTTTGCGTTCATTTCCAGTTGCAGAGTTTTCAAGGCAAAGATGTGGCAGCAATTGCAGGTGGCTTGGTGGATGCTGAAGCCCTAGTAGCTCTCAAAGATTTGCTTAATAGAGTGGACTCTGACATCCTATGCACTGAAGAGGTCTTCCCCACTGCAGGAGCTGGGTGAGAATTATAAAGCTAGGATCTAGGTTTCCTTCCTTCATTCCTGCCTTCCCTCTCCACCCCCTTCCCTACCTTCCTCCTTTCCTTCCTGTGTATAAGTCAACACATCTGTAGTATCTATGACTGAAATGAGACAACTTGGATTCTCTAACATGCCCACCAACTTATTTTCACGTATAGACCAACATTAAATCAGGAGGTATTGCAGAATCCAATTATAAATAAGTTTCTGAAACTTTGATGTAATTTAGGAATATTTCATAAAAATGTTTTGTCTGGGATTGCCATGGGTTTGTTGACACGAAGATATTCCGTGGATTGTCAGTGTATATTAGTTTTAAAGTAAACTTATATTTTTAATTTTGTATTTCTAGCACAGATTTGCGATCCAATTATCTTCTTAATACTACAATTGCTGGTGTGGAAGAGGCAGATGTTGTCCTTCTGGTTGGTACAAATCCACGTTTTGAGGCACCACTATTTAATGCTAGAATTCGAAAGAGGTTAGTAATAGTATTCAGGTTTTAAATATATTTATGTGATAATTTGTTTTATATATGAAAAATTATTATTTTAGCTGACTTCTAAGTATTAGTAGGAGGGAAACTTCAAAATACTATTGGAGGATAGTTTCTAACAGGTCTACCCCCCTCTCCTCCCAATGATCTTTTATTTATCTTATTTTTAAATAATTTAAAATGCTTGAAATGATCTTTGTATACACTGTTTTGTATTACTGTTCACCCAGATTAACCAATGTTAATATTTTGTCATATTTGTTTTATTATTCTTGTTCCATGTAGATATGTGTGAATGTAATTTTCTGAATTATTTGAAAGTTAAACATGATGCCCTTTTACCCCCAAATACTTCTATGTGGGTTTCCTAAGAACAAGGGACATTCTCTTAAATAATGAAGTATTTAGTATTGATACAGTATTATTTATTCCACAGTTTATGTTTAGATTTTACCAATTTTCCCATAATTGTTTTAGAGTAATTTTTTTCCTGCCAGAATCTAGTCTAGAGTCACACATTGTAATTAGTGTCATGACTCCTCAGTCCCTTTTTGGGGGCATTTTTTGAAGAACACAGGGCAGTTATTTTGTAGAATGCCTCTCCATCTTTTTGTATCTTAGAGATCTGTGGATAGGTCAATCATATAATTTATTTTCTAAACTGGGACACTGTTGAGAGTGAAATGGGGAGGTGTTATTTACTCCAGGATAACAGGTTTCAGCCAGCACTGTCTCAGACAAATCAAAATATGTGTTCACCGTGTTTATAACTATTTTTGGAGGAACTGGATCCATACTTTCATGTCAGAGAGAGTAAATATGAATGAGGTAGTTTGTTTTCATGAAATATATATATAGTAATCCTCACTCAAGGATATGTTTATTGATTTTTAGAGAGAGAAAGGAAGAGAGAGTGAGAGAGAAATAGTGGTGTGAGAGAGAAACATGGATTGGTTGCCTCCCATATGAGTCCCAACTGGGGATCAAACCTGCAACCTAGGTATATGCCCTGACTGGGAATTGAACATGCAACCTTTTAGGTGTACCAGATGATGCCACCCAGCAGGGCTTTCATGAACTATATTTAAATGGCTTCAGTGGATAAGTAGGAGATAATTCTGTTGTGTAAATACGGCAAAAACAAAACTACGGATCATTTATTCTAAAATTAGTCTTTGTTTATAGCTGGTTTATACAGTTAGCATTCTCACACAGAAAATTAATTGATTGCCTTTGTGTGTATTTTTACAACACTTTATTTTGAAAGTACACAATAAATTATATCTGTTAAGGTTAAATGTTCTGCTAGTGTTTTTGTGCTTTTAACATTTTGTAATATAAATAACATGTAACACTAGCATTAATGAGACCAATAGCTCAGTAATTTAGCTCTAAAAACTTTGCTGTTTTTATTTCAGCTGGCTTCATAATGACTTAAAAGTGGCCCTTATAGGCAGCCAAGTGGATCTCACTTACAGATATGACCATCTGGGAGATTCTCCCAAAATTCTTCAAGACATTGCTTCAGGTACCCATCCATTCAGCCAGGTACTCTCAAGTTATATGTATTTACACTTACTGATTTTTAAGTATTGTTAAAATTTCTTGTTTTTGTAATATTATGTGATTACTGTTAAAAATTACAGCGATATAGACAAGATCATGGAAGAAAGTAAAAAATTCAAAATCCTACCATCCCAAACAAGTATTGGTAATACATTATAATCATCTCTCTGTTCATATATAGAGCAAAATAGATGAATAACAGGCAAACAAACAAAAATGAAGTGATACCATACGTGCTGTTTTTATTTACTGGAGTTTAATTTTATTTAAAATTATCAGAAAAGACATTGAAGTGAAACTGAAAGGATTAAACCTTAACCTTCAATGAATTTTTTCTTATTCTTTTTTTGTTTTAATCTTTACCCTAAGATATCTTTCCATTGATCTTTAGAGAGAGAAATTGGAAGGGAAAGGGGGAGAGGGGAGAGAGAGAAACTTCCATGTAAGAGAGCTACATTGACTGGTTGCCTCCCACATGCGCCCTGACTGGAGGTATGTGCCCTTGACCAGGAATCAAACCCATGGTCTGCAGGCTGATGCTCTAACTATTGAGCAAACTGGCTAGGGCAATGAAGTCTTTATTGCAAGTTATTATTCCTAAAAAAAATTTCACCAGTTCTTTTACATGACCTTTTTCATTACTGGATTCTTCATAAATATTCATTTCCTTGCTGTCTGTAGATTATAGTTGTTTATTTCTTATTTTTTAAAGAGAGTCTCATAGGTGCACTATCCCTTGAGTTCTTGCTTGCTTGAGAATGTCTAGTATTCCTGAAGAGAGCCTTAGCAGATACAAAGTTCTAGGGTCACACTTTTCTTCTCTAAACTTCATAAACACTCTTGTTACTGTGGAGAAGTCTGACATCAGCTGTTTTCTCCCAGCCCTGTACTATTTTTTCCCCCCTGTCTAGATACTTTTTTCTTGAAAGTTAAGAATTTCACCAGAAAGTGTCTTAATGGTGGTTCTCTATCACTTTTTATCTGAGGAGGTGTGCCTTTCAGTCTGAAGATTCAAGGTTCTCTTTATTTTAGAATTTGTGTGTGTGTGTGATTATTTTAAAAGTGGGAGGGGTTTTTATTTCTCATAATGGTTCTGGAGGTAGGTAGTTTGACAGATGATACAGGTTTCCCAAGATGTCATCAAGGAAGGGGCCTGCCTTCTTGCTTTGCTATCCTCACTTTATTTGCTCACTCATGTGTTTGTGTGAGCCTCCTCTCATGGTTCCAAGATGATTGCTTCATTTATAGCCTCAAATGTAAATAAGAAGACAGGTCAAAGGGACAAAGCAGCCAAGCCCTACTTGTTTAAAGAGGAAAACATTACCATGATTACAATGATCAAAAATACTAAAAAATATTAAGTAGTCCTCTTTTATCTCTAGTTCTCATCCTCATGCTCCAGGAGATGATTCAGTGTTCTTCAGGAAAATTTGCTTCTATAGTAGATTTCAATGTATGTTTTCCATTATATAACTAGAGGCCTGGTGCACAAAATTTGTGCACTGGTGGGGGGGCGTGGCCCACTGTGGGAGCAGCTGCTCGTTCTGGTCAGCCAAGCAGTGTTCCCACTGTGATAGTGCACTGACCACCAGGGTCATCTCCGGCGTTGAGTGTCTGCCCCTGGTGGTCATAGCAACTGGTCGACCAGTCGTTCTGGTCGTTCCGCCATTCGGTCTCTGGGCTTTTATTATGTAGGATTAGTTATTTTCTCTCTTTTTTTAAACGTGTGCCTTTTAAAAATAGATTTTTTTTATTGATTTCAGAGAGGAAGGGAAAGGAAGTGATAGGAACATCAATGATGAGCCCTAGCTGATTTGACTCAGTGGATAGAGTGTTGGCCTGAAGACTGAAGGGTCTCGGGTTCTATTCCAGTCAAGGGCACATGCCAGGGTTGTGGGCTCGATCCCCAGTAGCGGGTGTGCAGGAGTCAGCCAATCAATGATTCTTTCTTGTCATTTATGTTTCTACTAGAAACCCGGTGCACAAAAATTTGTGCACTGGCAGTAGCGGGGGGTCTCTCTCAGCCCAACCTGTGCCCTCTCACAGTCTGGGACCCCTTGGGAGATAACCACCTGCTGGCTTAGGCCCGCTCCCCTGGTGGCAGATGGTACGCCCAGTCCCGCGGTGCCTGCCCGTCTTCCCCGGTCGCACACGGCAGTCCCAGATCCTGCGCTGGGGCTGGCAGTGGCTGGGGATTGTGCTGCTGCCTGCACAGGGCAGCGCAGCGGGATCTGCCTGCAGTATGCAAATTTAATGGCCATCTTTGTTGGGTTAATTTGCATACTCTTCTGATTGGCTGATGAGCATAGAATGATGAGAGAGAATTATTGATCAGATGCCTCTGCATGCCCCTTACTGGGAATCAAGCCTGCCACACCAGCCAGGCAATTCTATTTTCTTCATCAAGAACTCTTAACCATGCAGCTATTGGATCTCCTTTTCTATCTTTTCTGCCATTTTTTCCTTAGTTCTTTTGTTCTTTTTCAGTTTGTTTTATATAATTTTTATAGCCTTTCTTGTTCCTGTATTTACAGTCATGTTTTATTTTGTTTTTTATTGTTTCTGGAATGGTGTTCATATCTAATTCCTCTTCCAGTTCTCTCTTAGTTCTGATATGAAAATCTATTGTATTATACCCTCTATTATGTCACTTATTTGAACTCTTTTTGTTTGTTTTTACTAATTTTTTGGGGGGGTAAGGGAGGATATGAAGGGAAAGGGAGAGATAGAAACATTGATGAGAGAGAAACATCAACATTGATTGACTGCTTTCTGCATCGTCTCTGCTGAGGATTGATCCAGAAACCAGGGCATGTACCCTGACTGAGAATGGAACCAGTGACCTCTTGGTGCATGGGTCAATCGATGCTCAACCACTGAGCCACACACCACAGGCCAGGCTGAAATCTTATTTTTTTAAAGTGCGATAAAAGTGTGTTTTTCATTTTTTGAGGCTATTGAAACTTTCTCGGAACTCTTCACATTTCCTTGGGAAATTCCTTTTGCAATGAATATCCTCCTCTTTGTAGTATCTAGGTATAATTCTCATGCTGATTCTTTGATTAGGGCTGTCTGTTGAAGAATGAAACAGGGATGGGCAGGAGAGTGAGCTATGTAGTCTACAGCTTTACTTCTAATTTTTTTCATCTTCTACCAAAGATGGAGTTTCCTTTGCTCTTGGCATGCACTCCCCACTTAGTCTTTAGCATTCAGGAAGTTGCTATGTTTGAAAGCAAACTGCATTGGGATCTAGGGATCATTGCTTTCCATCCCACTTCCTCCCTGTCTGGTACCTGGTGAGTAGACAGAAGACAGTAGACATGATACCTTTAGCATGGTTTCTCCTGTTACACAGTACCATCGGAATCTCAGTCGGGAACATTCCCCAGTTCCTCTGACTCAGTCTTCCTGACCAAAGTTGTTTGGGTTGGATTTTGATTCCCAAGCTTACTTTTAGAAAATCTGTTTTATCTCGTGGTACTTGTTTAATCATTTCACATAGCATTGGCAATGTGATTAATTGTGGCTATATGTATGTTGACTAAACTTGGGGACAACATATTGTAGATTCAAATTTGGTTAAGTTTAGTTTTCATGTGTTTTTCATAAAAGTTACAAAATTTTTTTTTAATAGGTCTTAAAGGAAGCTAAAAAACCTATGGTGGTTTTAGGTAGTTCTGCGCTCCAAAGAAATGATGGGGCAGCAATTCTTGCAGCTGTTTCCAGCATTGCTCAAAAGATTCGGATGAGCAGTGGTGTTGCTGGTGATTGGAAAGTTATGAATATCCTACATAGGTATGTTGAGTATTGTTTTACATAATATAAAATTCAAGTAATTTTGTGTATAAGTGTGTTACATTGTCACATTTAGATTTACAAATAACTTAATATTTAACAACATTATCTTAGCTGGTATGAAATAGAAACCTTTACTTTCTTTGTGAGAAAAACCCAAGATAATAAAAAATATTTTAAAATATCCAAATTTTCAGTTAAGTGCTGAGAAATCTTGAAAATCTGAATCAGTATAACTTGTTTCAAAAATTGCAATGTCGCCAAAACCGGTTTGGCTCAGTGGATAGAGCGTCGGCCTACGGACTGAAAGGTCCCAGGTTCGATTCCGGTCAAGGGCATGTACCTGGGTTGCGGGCACATCCCCAGTGGGAGATGTGCAGGAGGCAGCTGGTCGATGTTTCTCTCTCATCGATGTTTCTGACTCTCTCTCTCTCCCTTCCTCTCTGTAAAAAATCAATAAAATATATTTTAAAAAAAATTGCAATGTCTTTGATTAAATGATGAAAATGTGAGCTAACTTACTGAGAATATATCTGAAGTTTTTTGGTGAGTATATTAACAATGAAAGTTTAAGACAGTTTCGAAAGAGAAAAAAGTGTATGAAATAAAAGTTTTATTTATTCCACTATCTGTAGATAATTACTATTGCTATTTTGGTGTACTCCTGTCTGGTCTTTTATTTTCCGTGTAAAATAATATAGTTGAAATCATACTATGCATACAATTTTGTGTCCTCATTTTGATTCTTATTACCAAATAAAAATTCCTTCCTGTTATTAGAAATAATTTAAAGAATATATTTTTATTGATTTCAGAGAGGAAGAGAGAGAGAGAAACATCAATGATTAAAGAGAATCATTGATTGACTGCTTCCACACTTCACACTGGGGTTTGAGCCCACACCTGGGCATGTGTCCTGATCAGTAATCAAACTGTGACCCCCTGGCTCATAGGTCAACACTCAATCACTGAGCCACGCTGGCTGGGCACAACTTGCATTTTTAAGATAGGTTTGGCTATTCTGGGTTTTTTGCAGTCCTTATGAATTTTAGGATCTGTTGGTCAGTTTCTGCAAAGGATTCAGCATGAATTTTTTTTAATCCTCACCAGAGAATATGTTTCCATAGATTGGAGAGAGAGAGAATTGCGAGAGGGAGAAAGAGAAACATCAATGTGAGAGAGAAACATCTATCTTTTTAAAAAGATTATTTTCTGCTTATAAGAGTTATATATGTTCACAGAAAAAAATTCCATAAAGACATACACCATTTTATTCATTATGTTTTCTCTGAATTACAGTTTTATGAGTGTGTTTATTTATTTATTTTTAAAAAAATATATTTTATTGACTTTTTACAGAGAGGAAGGGAGAGAGAGATAGAGAGCTAGAAACATCGATGAGAGAGAAACATCGATCAGCTGCCTCCCGCACATCTCCTACTGGGGATGTGCCCACAACCCAGGTACATGCCCTTGACCGGAATCGAACCTGGGACCTTTCAGTCCACAGGCCGACGCTCTATCCACTGAGCCAAACTGGTTTCGGCTATGAGTGTGTTTAAACTTAACCCTTTTGGCTTTCAAAATCACCCATTTTTCTCTAATTTACTGTGTTTGGCTTATCATGTGTTTTAGGGCTTCACTCTATTGAATAAGAATCAACTTAAAACAATTGCAATTGGCAGAAAGCTTCCAAAATTATTTCATTAAATATTAGCTAAGGAAGAAACACAGTGTCCTAGACATCTTGTTTGTTTGTTTTTTAGCCATTCTTAAAAGTAAAAGACTATTGTTTCTGCTTTTGACATCTGTTTTAAATGGATAAAAAAGGTGAGGGATGATTTAGGTATCACATTAAATTTTTTTTTTAACCTGAGGATATTTTCATTGATTTTCAGAGAGAGAGGAAGGGGGAGAGAGAGTGCAAAGCATCAATGTGAGAGAGAAATATCGATCAGTTGTCTTCCATTAACACCCTGACCAGCTGAGGATAGAAATGGCAACCTAGGAATGGAAGCCTTGATCTTTGACCTTTCGGTGTATGGAACAATGCTCCTACCAACTGAGCCACACTGGCCAGGACTCATTTAATTTTGTATAGTGAAACATGGTACTTATGCTAAAAATTCCTAATTCTACAGGATTGCAAGCCAAGTAGCTGCTTTAGACCTTGGGTATAAGCCTGGGGTGGAAGCAATTCGAAAGAACCCTCCCAAAGTGTTATTTCTCCTCGGAGCAGATGGAGGTTGTATCACTCGACAGGATTTGCCAAAGGATTGTTTCATTATTTATCAAGGTAAGTAGCATCTGTGACACCAGAAACAGAAGAGAATAGTACACTGTGTGTTGTAGAAACTGTATGGCAATATATTCAGTGGATTGAATATTTTCCATTCAGGAGTTTCCCCCACACACCCTCCCAATATTTTTAAAACCAAGTTAAAGGTTTTATTTGTTAAGAGGTCTGGTGCACAGGGAGGTGGGGGTGGGGGGACTGTCCCTCAGCCCAGCCTGCACCCTCTCCAGTCCGGGATCCCTCTTGCAATCCAGAACCACTGGCTCCTGACTGCTCACCTGCTTGCTTGCCTATTGTCCCTAACTGCTCCTCTGCCAGCCTAATGGCCCTAACTGCTCACCCCTGTCAGCCTGATCCCCCTAACTGTTCTCCCCTCCTGGCCTGATCCCTCTAACTGCCTATCTGCTCTCCCTTCCTCTCCACACCCTTCAGAACTCCGGCACAGGCTGCTGAGAACTCTCCACCGTGCCCCTGCCCCTACCCCCGTTCTGATTGGTTGTTACATGAAGGCGTCCTGGAAAATTTGCATATTCCTCTATTAGTATAGATAGTTGGTACTGCTATTAAGAATTATTACTTGATGTGATTTAATAACAGAATTAAACCTAAATGCTCCTAGTAATAGGAATGGTTAAATTCTGGTTTATTTATACAATGAGATATTATATAATATTAAAATTCAGCTTTTCAAAGAAACCATGTAAAAACGTTAAAAATCATGAGTCCTGTATTACAGGACTTTAATGCATCATATTTAATAGTGCTCCTTGGGCTTTTTTTAAAATATTTGACTCATTTTCTTGAACTCTCATTCATTGTATGAAATGAAATCAAATTTCCCTGGAATAAATAGAGTCCAGAGTTTTCTCGATATTTTACAGAGAAAAGTATTACATAATTTTCCACTTCATTTTACACATAAACACCATAAATTTACAATAGGCTTTTCATGGAAGTAGTTTGTATCTTTAGTTTGATAAAGTTAAACCGAAATGCATAAACTCAAATTCTAGTTCTATCCAGAGATAATTATTGATTGTGGTTTGTTGTTGTTTGTTAAGTAATTTATTTTTTAATTTTTATTATTTTGAGAGAGAGAGATTTGCTACTCTACTTATTTATGCATTCATTGGCTGATTCTTGTATGTGCCCTGACCAGGCTCAAACCCACAACCTTGGCATATGGGAATGACGCTCCAACCAACTGAGCTACCCGGCCAGGGTGATTGTGATTTTGATATGCAGGCTTCATACATTTTCCTATGCATATACAAGCATGTACACAAATGAAAAAGTTTATATGTTGTGCTATAATTCATTTAATTTCTTCCCCCCCAACAGTTTGTTAAACTATTAGTGATTCATTATACTATTTTTTATAATTCTCTGTATATACCCTTTTCAGTGTTATTACTGTCTTATTCTTGTACACTTTTTGTATCTCCACCATTTCAGTCTACTTTACCAAATTTCACTAACATTCATCTGAGCATTTTCACTTTATAATCATCAAGAGAAATAATATACCTAGTTGTCACTATATATGTGTATGAGATACATATTTGTGTATTTGCAAACAATAATCTGGGAAGATACATATCAAGTACTTTAACAGTAATTTTCTTTGGGAAGGAAGTTGAATTGTGGGCAAGGTTGGTTTTAATCTTTATTCCAGTGTTTCAGTATTGTATTGTTTTTATTGTTAAAACACTTTTATAATTTTAAAAATGTTTACTATGTTCATGTAATAGTACCTAATCAGTTTTTTACTAAAATGTTGTTTGCCATTATCCATCTTTTCACAGGACATCACGGTGATGTTGGAGCTCCTATAGCTGATGTTATTCTCCCAGGCGCAGCTTACACAGAGAAGTCTGCTACTTATGTCAATACCGAGGGCCGAGCTCAGCAGACTAAAGTAGCAGTGACCCCTCCTGGCTTGGCGAGAGAAGACTGGAAAATTTTAAGAGCCCTCTCGGAGGTATTTATTCTTGGTTGCTTGACATGTTAGTTTGTCAGAATGGTTTTCAAAGTCAAGGAAGACCCAAGTCTGTAATGCAAAGATGATTTGAATTATCTCTACAGGGAAAATGTGTTTAAAAAATGGAAATGTGAATTGGTATTTTAATTTTTGACTTGTCTTATATTTCTTTTAACTCTTTTTACTATAAAAATAATCATGAGGCCGAAACCGGTTTGGCTCAGTGGATAGAGCGTCGGCCTGCGGACTGAAAGGTCCCAGGTTCGATTCCGGTCAAGGGCATGTACCTGGGTTGCGGGCACATCCCCAGTGGGAGATGTGCAGGAGGCAGCTGATTGATGTCTCTCTCATCGATGTTTCTAACTCTCTATCTCTCTCCCTTCCTCTCTGTAAAAAATCAATAAAATATATATATAAAAAAAAAAAATAATCATGAGATTTAAAATAATGGACAGTTGTTTATAAGCTGTATATGATCGATAACAAGCAGTCAGTCACCTTTAGCATAGCATTATCTCTTCAACCATTTATTTCATAATCAGTCTATTTTCTAAAGATAAATTACTAATGTACTGACAGCTATTTATGGATTACCAGTGTTTTTTACAATTGTGTTCCCCTCTTACCCCCTTGCTTAATATACACACTAATGGACACCAGTAGATTTTCAGTAGTACTGTGTATTTCACCATAGTCGCAGTTACATACAGGGATGAGCAAAAATAGGTTTACAGTTGTATGTGCAACACAGCATTTATTCTAGGCCCGGGGCATGAAATTCGTGAACGGGCAGGGTCTCTAGGCCTGGCCGGAGATCAGAGCTGATTGGGGCCTTCCAGCCTGTGAGGCCTTCCTTTGTTCCATGCCGCCCCCTGGTGGTCAGCACACATCATAGTGAGCAGTAGAACTCCCAAACTCCCGAGGGGACACTTTGCATATTAGCCTTATATATAGAGAGAGATTATTATTTATTCATTATTGTATTTTTCATATAAACAGTTATGAACCTACTTTTTCCTACCCATATAGTATTTGAAAATTTTAAGTATTAAAGCTTTATGTCAATTTTGGGTCCTGATATGTTATAGATAGCAGGCATAACTCTTCCATATGATACTCTGGATCAAGTAAGGAACAGATTGGAAGAAGTCTCTCCTAATCTTGTTCGATATGATGATGTTGAAGGAGCTAATTATTTCCAGCAAGCAAGTGAGCTCTCCAAGGTAAAAACTTACTTATATGCAGTTTTCATAATAGTGTATCCTTCAGTGTAACAGTAGTACTTTTTAATATTATTACTGATCTCATACTCCTCTTTTGCAGCTAGTGAACCAGCAACTACTTGCTGATCCTCTTGTTCCACCTCAGCTAACAATAAAAGACTTCTATATGACAGGTATGCAATTGTCAACATGACTGGCAAGTATGAATGGTGGTAAGGAATAATTCAGCATTGTGATTACAACCTGTTAGTATTTAATATTTTTAATTTTTGAAGATTTTAAAACATCAGAACTGGTATAATTCATATTTTCTGATTTTACTGTAATTCCCTTTTCTAAAATGTAAGCAGAGTTTGAAAATGCAGGAAAAGTTAACAGATTTTAAATATAAAATTTTACTGTTGTATTTAGTATCACTGTGTAGCAATTTAGGGAGAGTTTTTCTGTGAAAGTTTTCCTGAGAATTACAGTAGAAGAATCAAAATACTTCAGTGGTGAAACGTGTTAAATGGTGCTTCTGATGGAAGGGGTTAGGAATGTTTTTAAGGAATGCAGACTAACTGAAACTTGTTTACTGCACATCTTACACTTGATATAACATCTAGGTTATGAGGTACTTGATAGATGATTTAAACATTTTTTTATATCTAAAAGCAGGTAGTATATTTTAATTTTTTTGGTACAATTTATATCTAAGATTATTTTTAATAGGATGTTTAGTAATGTTATAAAAGTTGTATTCATTGTAGAATATATGCCTAAGCTAAAAATAGCAAGAAAAACTCACTATGACCCCACTACCCAGAAATAACTATATTTATTTTTAACATTTTGGCCACTCGGGGATATATACATATATTATTCTAACAAAAACAGATTATTCAGTTACTATGGGTTTCTTGTTTGCTTTTTATAGCTGTTGAAATGTAATTCATATGCCATGAAATTTACCCATAAAGTGTACAATTGAATGCATTTTAATACACATTGTTGTGTGACCTTTTTTTCAATTACAGTATATATTCACATATTTTTCCAGAGTCTTTAATGCTTTTCTATAATATGTTTAATTATTGCATACTGGCACATTGTTTGCTATATGCAATTATTTAATCATACCTAGGAATACTTATTAAAAGCATTTAGCTAATAAGGGGCTTATCCTCTGAATTTGTTGGATGATCTCACAAAATATAGCCTTTTTTTTGTTGTTCCTGAATATGTGAAACAGAGTTTTACTATGTGCTTTTTTAAAGTTGTATTATCAAAGTCCAACTTTTTAAAATCTCTTTCAGATTCAATTAGCAGAGCCTCACAGACAATGGCCAAATGTGTTAAAGCTGTCACAGAGGGTGCCCAGGCAGTAGAGGAACCATCCATATGCTGAAACATCTACCAGTTTGCTACAGATACTTAATGGACAACTATGTTGGAGTGATCTCTTAGAGGTTTCTCTCTTTAAAAAATAATCTGAATGATGTAATATTTAAGGTTCTATCATGCTTATTTGAAAACAATATTGCAATCATCAAAGAACTTGGAGCTTCCAAGAATGTTTATGTGTTGTGTGTAAACATGAAATAGTTTAATAAACATGTACTGATGCTTTTTCATGTAAAAGCATCAATAGTCTTTGTGATGAATACAAAGAAAATCCTTAAAATATGAATTTTTGTTTATAGGTCATTTATGTTTGTAAATGGGTTAAAGAAGCAAAGCTTCCATTAGGACCCCCTTTTTAATTTGTTTTGTTTTTTTGTTAATCCTCACCTGTGTTTTCCATTTATTTTTAGAGAGTGGGAGAGAAGGAGGGAGGAAGGGAGGGAGGGAGGGAGGGAGAAATATTGATCTAAGAGAGGCACATCAATTGGTTGCCTTTGCACGAGCCCCAACTGGGGCCAGAATCGAACTTGTAACCCAGGTTTGTACCCTTGACCGAGAATCAAACTCGTAACCCTTCAGTGTGCAGGCTGACACTCTAACCACTGAGCACACTGGCGAGGGCAGGACCCCCTTTTTTATTGTTAAAATAAAGATTTAAGCATTCAGTCAGGGTGGGTACATAGAAAAAATACATAATCATATACTGTATGTATCCTGGAAAATTATAATGATAGCTAATGGTTTTTCAACTTGTTCTGTGTGCGAAGTAACCACTAAGCTTACATGTATTATCTTGTTTTGTCCGTGCTCTGACCCTATGAGGTAGTAGTATCTCATTTTACAGGTGAAGAAACTGAAGCCCAGGTAATATTAGGTAGCTTGCTCAAGGCCACAACAAAAAAGTCAGACTCAAGCTGAGTTCTGTCTGACTCCAAAATGTATTGTTCTTAACTGCTACACATAATTCCCTGCCATTGATGCATATTCTAAGAATTGGTATTGAGGAGCTTAATGGGGAACACATTTTTCTGTATTCTCTTGTACCTGTTTATATAATGTCATGGTGGTTATGTGACATTTTTCTTTGGATAATAGATTACACGTACATAACACCCACCGGGAATGAGGGAGGTCTGAAGAGATCTATAATGTAGGTCTTCATTGATGTTTCATATTCATTATATTAGTACCATGTATAGTATTAAGTCAGATAAATTTCCAGTAATAGAAAATAAACTAATAGCTTTCATAATTTTTAATTGTCAAAACACGAAGGAAAAATTTTACAGCTAATCTTGGAGGTAATCTAAAGCTATATTAAATTTTTTCAAAATTCACGTTCAGAATCCTTTTGTTTTATTATCCCTTTCTGCTTTCCTGATTATTCCTTTCTGCTTTTCTGATATAAACTCAATTCCATTGATTGTAAGGGAAAGTCATGTCTAATGTAAGCTCCAGATTATATCTGTTAAAAGAAAAACATTTCTTCACTAAAGCTCAGAGTAGTTAAGTAACTTGGTCAAGGTCAACCCAGTCAAGTGAAATACTGCTACTACAGTGTCTCACCAGGGTTGTGAAAATTAATTGTACAGAATTCTGCTTATTTTTAATAATGGATGGAATTTTTACCAGTCACTGTAAAACTTACTGTTTGTTGGATTCTAACCCTTAAAAAAGAGCAAAGCATAAAATGGTGCTGTCAGAAGAGAGGAGACTGTGTGCTCGTGATAGGAAAGGCAGTGAAGGGGAGTTAGAGCTGTTGATGTGCATGGAAGTGGATGCGTGGATTCTTTTGCCAACGTAAAGCTTTGGCTGATATAAACTGTCAGTCTTACTGCTGCCCAAACAAATTACCCCACCACTAGTCGGGCTCCCAAGGATAGAGGAACTAAAGTTAACATGTAAATGTTAACATTGTCATTCATGACTACTGTTAAAATGTCATTAGCAAAGTCACCCATTACCAATGGTGTGGCTAAAAATTATGATTCGTGCAGAAGTTAATGCTATACATAAATATAGTGTGACAGGCTTTTAGGTCACTTTATAAGGCTTCTTTTAGCATGGCTAGACCTTGGGTTTGTGATTGACAACTTTTGGAAACAAGTAGACATGAAAAAGATATAAGGATCTGTTGGAACAAAAAATTGTGTATATACATATATAGTGACATTTTATAAAAATATGAAGATAGCTGATAATTCCCTAATAATTTTTAATAACCAGTATTTCAAACGATCTTAACAATTGCATAGTACTCTAATCAGTTTGCTTATTTAATTTAGCCCAAGGGACAAAAATGTTAGAAAACTGTGACTATACTTAGGGTCCATATTTTAAGAAAACAAGGATCTCAGAACCAAATACTCATTGCTTAATGTGTTTTCTTGTGGTTTTATACCACTGAAAAATTTAGAAGATTAAAGATAGAGACCTACCTATGACTGATTTGTCAAAATAACTTAAACGGAAAAGCAATACATTGGTATTGAAAAATATGGCAATAAAACCCAAAAACAAAAAGAAAAATATGGCAAATGTATGATCTAGGGTTAGATTATAATATTTAATTTTAAATTGGTATGTAAAGAGATCAGAAGATAACATTAATTTACTTCTCAGAAGCATATAATGTTGGATCTAAAAAGGACTAGAAAAATCTAGTCTTATACATGCATTTTGTAATTGTGAAAATGAAGGCCAGAGAGAATAAGGGTCAAATTGGAGGCAGGTTTTGTGGTTTTGTGATTTCTCGAAGCCTTAAATTCAACTCTGACATTTATTAAACATTTGCAGAGTATCTACTGTGTGGCAAGTATGATAGTAAGTACTAGGACTACACAAAGAAATGCAGTTAAGTTTGTGCCTCAAGGAGCTAACCCTGTAATAAAAGGTATGTAAACATCAATTACACTAATGTCATAACAGTCTAATACAGGTATGTACATAATTCAGTGTTGGCCATGGCTGGGCCTGACAAAATTTTTAAATTTACTGATACTCAGTGTTAGCCATTATTTAGAGACACACACAGTCATACACTATATATCCATCAAAATTTTAAATGTGCAGCCCTAACTGGTTTGGCTCAGTGGATAGGGCGTTGGCCTGCAGACTAAAGGGTCCCAGGTTTGATTCTGGTCAAAGGCATATACCTTAGTTGCAGGCACATCCCCAGTAGGGAGTGTGCAGGAGGCAGCTCATCGATGTTTCTAACTCTCTATCCCTCTCCCCTCCTCTCTGTAAAAAATCAATAAAATATACTTTAAAAAGAATTTTAAATGTGCATGTCTTAGACCCAGGAATTCTACTTCCCAGGAATTAATCCTAAAGGTATACCAGCATGAGTTTGCAAAGACACATGGGTAAGAATGTACATTTGCATCTTTTTGCTAGATGAATAAAAAATTTAAATGTCTATCAATAGGAGACTGCTTAACATATTTTGAATATAATCATGAAATGAAATATTCCAATGTTAAAAAGAATGACCCAGATCTTTACATGGTGATACGAAAAAAGCTCCAAGATATATTAAGAACATTAAATGCACAGTACTAAATGCACAGTACTGTGTGTATATATATGTAAAGTTTCTCAGCAGATTAATAAAACTTAATTGTGGATACCTCTGGGTTCTTCAACTAATAGGAAAGCATAAAAAAAAAGTTTTACAGATGTATCATTTACACATTTGAAATTTTTTATAAGAATATTGCTTTCAGCAGGGAGGGGGATTAAATGTTGCTTTCATAATTTTTAAAAACATTTTTTTAATGAAGAACATGTAGCAAAACAAAACATTTAAGTTGATGAAAACTGAAGAAGGCAGGATACAAAATTGTGTGTGTGCTGTGCATGGTAGGCAGCCTCTGAGCCTGCCCCCGTGTCCCTGGTGGCTGGGATTCCATCCTTATGTAACCCCTCTCCTTGAGTATGGGCTGGTCTGACTGTGGCTTCTGTCTCGGATTCTCTGATTCTCTCCTCCCAGATCACCAACTGCATGTTGTGAGAACACTTAGGCAGCCTGAGGAGGAAGGCCATGGTAAGGAAGAGCCTGTCAGCAACCAAGTGAGTGAACTGAGTCCTTTGGTCCCCAGTTGAGCTGAGATGACTGAAGCCTCAGCCAACAGCTTAACTGCGACCCTGTACATTTCTGAATTCTTTACACACAGGAACTGTAAGATGATAAATGTTGGGTTTAGCCACTATGTTTTGGGTGAGTTATTCACTAATAGACAACTAATATGTTATAATTATAACTCAACAAAAGCATAGGACAGGATGATCCATATCCAATGACTGATACATGTGGGAGTATAAAGGCCATTTAGACCCAATGGGGGCCAATTCTGAAGGGCTGTTTTAGCTCCTGAGCTCTCTGGGGGGTTGGCTGAGGCTGTCACTGGGTCTGCATTGCAACCCAGCTTTTAACTTGGCCACTCCTGCTTTCTTCCCCTCCCTTTAGGTGTTGATCCCTGGGAAACTCCTTTTAAATATTCTGAACTCTAAACTCTGCTGAGTCCGCTGCCTGGGGAAGCTAATCTGTGACAGCCAAACGCAATGTCTGTGGATCCCAGGTAGCTGCTCCAGTTGTCACTGTCTCAGCCGAAAGGAGTGGAAGAGGGAGAGGAAGTGTGCCATTTAATGTTTTATTGACTTTATTGCATCATTTCCACTCACATCCCACAGGCAAGACTTAATAACCAAATTCCCCTGCATGAGAGGTGGTTAGGAAATACAGCCTCTAACTAGCCAGCCATCTACCTAAAACACACAGAGATTCTAAAGGTGTTTTAGTTATCTTTTGCTGTGTAACAAACCACCCCAAAACTTAGTGGTGTAAAACAACAACCGTCGTCTTATATTCATGAGGTTCCCTGGGTTCAAAATACAGAAAGCACAGCAGAGATGTTTGGAAATGAGTAATAGCTGAGGACTGGAGCAACTGTGGAGGACTCAGTCTCCAGATAGCATCTTCACTCCCATGTTTGGGTCCTGGGCTGGAATGTTGGGAAGACAGGTTCAGATGGGATTATCTTCCAGAGCATTTACTCGTGACCTCAGGATAGTTGTATTGACAGGGTGGTTTAGGGCTTCAGGAACAAGAGATTCCTAGAGACCTAGGAGAATGCTAAAGGCTTTTTATGACTGAACCTCAGAAGTTACATAAATAGCATCACTTCCTCTGTACTTTATTGGTCAGAGCCCACCCATATTCAAGGGGAGGAAACACACATCCCATCTTTTGATGGGAAGAGGGTCAAAGAATTAAACCAC